TGTGTGTGTGTGTGTGTGTGTGTGTGTGTGTGTGTGTGTGTGTGTGCGTGCACGCGCGTGTGTGGGGTGAATAGCTACATTCCTCTTTAATTACAGTTTTGCATTGCAGATTTTGGATGCACTTCAACAATGCACCTACAATTGTTACAACTAGTACAGCTAACTTCACTTTGTGCTGCTTTAATAAGCACTTGTATTGAGTTTTGTTTGTGCAATTTTCTCCCCTCCATGATTCAAGCAGGCTTTGGTGAATAAGTTTTAGCTTTCACTTGAATCCACTTTTTAGTACGTGGTTAATACATCTAAATGTGTTGTGGTGCACAGCACCGGGAATGACCTCGCCAAAACGAATGCCACTATCAGTTTAATTCTCGGAACAACTGCTCCGTCTGCCACAGCTGCCCCCGAAACAAAGAGTCATGGTCCAAGCTAAGACGTGGATCCTGACCAAGTACTTTGATGGCTTCCCGAAGGACAGCGACTTTGAGCTCAAGGTGGAGGAGCTCCCAGGGCCCAAAGATGGGGGTAAGATCTTTTATTATAGAAGAGGAAACGGTCTGTTCATGTGAAGAGTACACTTGTTCTGCACTGACGTCTCCTTTTTGTTTCAGAGGTACTTTTGGAAGCAGTGTTTCTCACTGTCGACCCATACATGAGGTGAGGGAAGAGCAGGATCGTCAAGAGTTATTATTGTGAAACGCTCTCTTGAACAAATCATTCATGGATCAAAAAAATGCATTTATAAAGTATGTACTGTTTGTCTTTACAGGCCGTTTAGCAGGGTTCGCATGAATGAAGGCGATGTCATGATTGGATCACAAGTGGCCAAGTAAAGAACACACACACACACACACAGAGGAACGTCTTCACCGTGCATGCACTGATGTTTTAAACAAACCGTCCTGCATCTGCTATTAATTACCAAAAGTCTTTGAGTCACAGCGACTGAAAAGCAAAAGCAGGTGATTGAAATGTTCTTGGCTGAGTGTTCAGACGCTCCAATCTGTTTCAGTGGGAACGTTTTTGATGATAAACATGCAGGATGAATCTCTCCGTGACCAAACTCTACAAACAACCTCAAAGTGGTCCGTTTCGAAAACACATGTTTCGTATTTTCTTAACTCTGCCGTGAGCCAACAGTGAATAATGCACATCTGCCACATGGTTTGAGGTCATACTGTCGACATTACTTTTCTTCTTATGTTTGTGTGTTGTCCTGTAGAGTGATTCAAAGCAAAAATGCAGCATTTCCTGTTGGGAGCCATGTTGTTGGTCGCTGTGGCTGGAGAAGCCACACAGTCTGTGACGGAAAGGACCTCATTCCCATCATGCCTGACTGGCCGCAGGACGTCTCGTTGTCCCTGGCTCTGGGCGGCATCGGCATGACGGGGTAGGACAGATGTTAGGTGGCCTCTATGGGTAGAAATTGAGTGCAGAGGAGTTATATCTGTTGTCTGTAAAAGTGCAATTAATTCCTGAGTAAATGATGCTTATGATTAAGGGACAGAGTTGTTTCCCTCAGCAGAGCAGAACAGCTGACTTTTGTCTTTCTTTGAGTAAATAAACGAGCGAGGCTCCAGATGTTTTGTCCTGCCGGCGAGTTGAAGTCATCGTACAAACACGGATAACCTCGGTATGGAAAGAGGCTCCTCTGTGGAACTGGAGGGAGAACATACCGTCATGCTTTTCAGATTTTGGTCGTTAGATTTGACTCTCTTTTTCCTCTCCAGACTGACGGCGCTGTACGGGATAGAAGAGGTCTTGGGGCTCCAGAAGGGCGAGACCCTGCTGGTGACTGCTGCAGCGGGGGCCGTGGGCTCCGTGGTGGGCCAGCTGGCCAAGATCAAGGGCTGTAAGGTGGTGGGTTCGGCGGGCTCCGACGCCAAAGTGGCTTTCCTCAAAGAACTGGGCTTCGACGAGGCCTTCAACTACAAGACTGTTGGTTCCCTGGAGGAGGCCCTGAAGAAGGCTTCTCCAGACGGCTACGACTGCTTCTTTGAGAATGTAAGCACATGTGGTGGAGCTCCAAGCCCGTGAATTAAATAAAATTAATTAAATAATTTAGTTAAATCAACAATATAAATTAAGTAGTAATGCGAGCTGGCTTATAAGGGGTCAACATTACTTCTATATATATGTTGGGGCCAGACCCATACGTGCTTTAAAAGTGAACAGTGTGGGCTCCATGTTTGAAACTTGATTATTCTCTTTAACTGACAGTTTTAATTTTTGTTTATTTTAGGTCGGAGGCCCTTTTTCCAGTGTGGCCATACAACAGATGAAGAACTGTGGAAGAATAGCCGTGTGTGGAGCTATTTCCACATACAATGACACCACGCCCCAAACAGGTGTTTGGGGCGTTTATTTCATGTTTATTTGTCTGCTTTAACTTCATACATGCTTGTGAAAGAAATGTATTAAAATGCGGTTAAAACTGTGTGTAAACAAGTTCTTCACCCTTTTACAACTTCACATGCTCAGATGATTTTAATTTATTTCTTCACTAGAGGGCGACGTTGTGTTACTGGAATGTTGGAGTAGAAGTATAAACAGACCTTTGTCTTTGTCAGAATGTTTTCTTGGACGACCATTAAAAGTCTCTCTCTCTCTCTCTCTCTCTCAGGCCCATACCCCCACCTCACCATGATCTTTAAGCAGCTTAAGATGGAGGGTTTCATGCAGACCAGGTGGGAGCACAAGCACCCCGAGTCCCTCAAGAGGCTGATGGGATGGTTGAAAGAGGTTAGTGACTATTTAACAATTGTTGTGTGTTTCTTCAGGAAAGATTTAATCTCATTTAGTAGAGTTGCCCCGCGGTCCTGCTTCAGCTTCATTTCTGTGGTTTTATTCCTTCTGCAGGGCAAACTGCAGTGTCGGGAGCACATCACCAGAGGCTTTGAAAAGATGCCGGCTGCTTTCATGGGGTTGCTGCAGGGAGAAAACGTCGGCAAGGCTATTGTCGCAGTCTGATGTGGATCAACGGAGAAGAATCGGTATTATTAATAACCTACATGTAATTACAGAACTCATGCATGAAGGACTTAGCCATAGAGACTAATAACTAACCTGTTTTTAAAATAAACATGTGATTTATGTTTAGCATTAGTTCAGGAGTTATTGTTAGACAGTCCCATTCATTCTTTAATATTGGATTTAATAAATAAATAAATACAAAATGAAACAAATGGAGAAATCGATTGTGTTTGAGTGTACGGTGCATCGTCTGGTAGAGATCAGAGCGATGGCCGTGTTACTCTACGAGGACAACACAAGACGGGGTCAGTCTGCTTTGCCATTGAGTACTTGGATGAGATGTGTGGATTATTCACTGAAATAAAATGAACCATTGTGCTTTGCATTTAGTGACAGTTTTTGTAATGGTAATAAAGTTTGGGGCTTTCTTTCAAATTGTCTGTTGACGTGGCAAAGCCTAATGCCCCAGTGACCAAAATGGTGTTATTGTGAAGCTGTTATTTCAAAGTGGACACGACTTACTGCAAGAAGAAATCCTTTGAATCTAGTTTCCAGAAATCGATAAAGTATCAAAACATTGGGTTCAGTTTCTTTCTTTTAATTTAAAATGTAAGGTTGGAAATTTCAGAAACATTTCTTTTACTGCGCAAGAATATATACATTTAGTTAGTGTAGACTACATTATGTTTGCAAATAGTCACGGAACCTAAATGTGAAGGTTAAAAGGCAGATAAACAAATCGATGGGGATGACGTAATGAGGGCATATCCCGTTTACGGGACGTTGATGTGTAATACTACACGGGAATTGAGCTGCGCAGACTCAGTCGTTTACGGTAAACCAAGAATTTGTCAAGTCATTGTGACTTGAATTTACTTTTTTCTCTGCAAGTATCGAAATAATGTTTTAGTGAATACATAAATACGCAGAACAAAGTGTCATACAAGACGATGTAGGCCTAATTGGTTATTAAAATACTAGTAATCATCGCCATGTGTAAAGTCAGCTTTTTCTCTAACGGACGTTCATCCAAACGATCAGAAAACCAATAAAATGACTGAAATAAATTCACCGAGAGACAACATTTAACATGAGTAAATGCACGCACCATCTATTTGGGTTGCTGGATGGAAAAACCCCGTCAAAACCAAAAAATATTACGGTACTGACAACCTTCAGAATAAAGGTCTTTATTAGAAAACGCTTTTCAATGCATAATACAGAAACAAAACAAATATATTAATTATGGAATCTGTACGAAATAAAAATGCAATTAAAGCGCATTTCACAGCCACAGCATAAACCCATTGGCGTAACAATTACAACAGCTTTTATTTTTTAAAGTACACTGATTTCCGCTGTGGTTCGGACTGAGGTTGAGTAGCTTGATGCAGCTGCCATATAAAACGCGGCGTGTCGTCCACTTCAAGTGATTCACAAGCTTAGTTACTTTTTGTTCACCTCGAGATACACTCACAAAATGGCCAACGATATTCTAGAACCGACAAATTTGGTAAGTTGTATGTTGTTCATTCTGCAGCGTTTATCGGTGGCCGTTGTTGAAAGCCGCCATTGTCAGACGTTTATGTTTTCCACTAACGGTCGATTCTTCGCTTCCACGGACTACACCGGGCAGCTTCGCGCGTGTCCGCGTGACACGTTCTCTACATTAGGAGTTTATTTTCTATTTTTCAAGCATGTGTAGTTGGTGGAGAGTTTGATACATATGACTTAATACCCAGAGTAAAGCAATAGGCTCCGATTTTCACCTGAATGCTACGCGACTGGGTGATTCAGCATGAAACCCGCTATCTTCCACCAGACGGGTGCGTTACAGATGACTATTACCCACAAACCACCACGGGTGCGTTACTGAAGAATTTTACTCACAAACCACCAGTGTTACGCTGCCCTGGCAACGCTGGTTTGGTCGCGTGCCATCCACAATAGGCCATATTCAGTTGGTGTGCATCAGTTTACGTACGTAACTGTTCTAAAACCATAATTACGTAGTTTACGTCTGAAAGATGTGGCGCACAGTCGTGGCTTTATATAGGACCGTGATTTTGGGCCTCTTTGGGCCTGCATTGTCTTTAAACGTAGCTGATTGCTAGATCTAAATGGAGACTGTCTAGCACCCTAATGAAGTCATTTAAAAACATAATCACAATTCTACCTCTGGTGTTAAAGGCTATGGTGTGTGTGTGTCTAAGTTGCACATACTGAAAGTGAAAGCTTTCAGATATAATTAATGAAATGTTGGTTTTGCAGTGACTATAATATCTGACTTCAGATTAGCTAATGCATCACAGCTTGATCATCTTCTGTTTCTGTTTGTTGTTTCATTTTCTGTAGGCTGAGTTCAAGCAGATGCTGAAGGATGCTGGAGACAAGCTGGTTGTGGTGGACTTCACAGCCACCTGGTGTGGCCCTTGTAAAATGATCGCCCCTAAATTCCATGTAAGTGTACAATTTAGCCATTCGGGTGTCATTAAAACCATCGTTGAATGGTTGGAAAAGATCATGTTTGTTGTTTTCAGCCTTTGTGAAACACAAATGCATCAGTACATGCTTTCTCGATCACATGGCAGCAGGCACGTTTATTTTATCATTAATGCTCGTTGATCGACTCTCTTTCAGGCTCTGGTGTCAAAGCCTGAGAACAAGAACGTGGTTTTCATGAAGGTGGACGTGGATGAAGCTGATGTAAGTGTGTGTTTTCTGTTTTTATTTTAAGTCACCAGTTGGTTTACTACAACGGCCGTGAGTACAAAGACCCTCGCATGTCCAAAATATCAGCAAACCGTTTTTTGGGAGTCGTAAAGGAATGTCCAAGTAGTCCTTTCTACTGGGGTTGAGTAGGGGGCAGGGGGGGTCAGCAGGTAGCAGTGATTCTGACTCCGCCCATCCATCTTACTGTTCCTTTTTGCTCTTTTCAGGATGTCAGTAGAGAATGCAAGGTCACCAGCATGCCCACTTTCCACTTTTACAAAAATGGAAAAAAGGTAAGCATGAAAATAATAATAATAATGTAAACGGTGGGTGGGTGGGGGGGGGGGGGGGGGTTTGGTCATTGTGCAGTGGCTTGGTGTTAACGGGCCATCATTAAGTGGTCTCCATCAACTCCTGAAGGAAACATCTGCACCACTTTCTTCATGAGCTATAGCCGCTAACTTTGCGTGTCTTTGTGCTGAAACTGGAAACGAAACAAAGCGGCTCAGACGAGAGATTTTTAGGAGTCTTTGTGGCATTCAACAGTTTTCTTGGATTTACATTTTTTTTTCTTGTATGAAAATCGAATGCTTTTAATGTGAATGAATTTGATCGGTGATCTATTTAAAGGTGCCGTCTTTAACTCTCCGGTCTGCGTTGTCTTTCAGGTGGACGAGTTCTCCGGCGCCAACGTTGAAAAGCTGCACGCAACACTGGAAAAGTGGAGAACATAAAATCCCGCCGACCAATCCACTGTCCCTCCTCGTATCAACACCACCGCCTCCCTCTGCACATGTATAAGAAACTCAAGTTACTAGTCGTGTAACCATCACATCTCTCATTCCACACAGGCTGCGATCTTGACTGGCTGAAATTAGGATTAAAACCCGATGACCACTTTTAATTCTGTTTTTCTATGAGTGATTGGCTTTGCTCCTGACTCCCTCGTACGTTGTGTTCAAGGTGGATTTAATAAATGAAGATGAGTTACTGGAACTGTGTTCTCTTCTTATTCACATTTTAAAACACTCTAATCAGATATTTAAAGGAAGAGCGGTAAATGGTATTTTATGCTTTAATACAAATGTGAGAATAGTTTACACATATACATTGGGACAATCACATCAATAGTTTTTACACATCGTACAAGTATATAGCAGCATATGTTTAATACTGTCGAGTCTCTATATGAAAAAATACAGCTTTATTTTACAAAATGGTTCTTGCGTTGCCTTCTGCGGAGATGAGAATGAATGGTTTACAAGTGCGTCACTTATCTATACAAGAAGTCCCTTCATGAGACGATTCACACGGAGCCTTCAGAAGTGATAGTATCCCGATTTCCTTTTCCTGCAGAAACAGTATTCAGGCTTAGTCTCACTAAATACGACCAAGGAAATACAACTAACTAAGAACTCCTGAGGAAGTAAATTAAACTTTATCACTAAAGAGTCTTGTTTGTGCTACAGATTCAAAACTCGATACGGTCTACTACCTATAACCTTTATTACTCATCAACATTTAAGATCACAGGTTTTTTTTTCCATTCTCAAATATGCTCATTTTGCAAGTAAAGATGACTCATTACTGATTACCCAGAATGCTCTAACATGCACACTAGTATCTATCCAAGTTGTGAGTCCTACCCTGGGTTTGGTAAGTTCACACGCTCCGTCTAATTTTTGCATTTAACATGCTTTTCTGTCCAGCACCTAGTACTTATCGTCTGGATATGGGTGTTTCTGTGTATCCTTTCCTAATAAGTTCAATAGTAATAAAAGGAAACCTGTTTTTTAATTTGCATGTACACATAAAGGGCTGGGTGGTTGGTGGATGACTCATGAAACCATGGGACATCCTGTAAAGCTCATTTGTTTAGTGTACAAAAGAGGAGAGCAGAGGGACGATTCTGCATGTGTGACTGCAGTGTGCAAGGTGCAAGATGGAAGCCTCCAGCTAAAAATGTAAATTATCCACACTAACAACGTCAGAGAGACAAAATAAGTCCCTGATTTCCTTGTAAGAAATACACATAATACAATAACAGTTTCCTTGTTCCTTTTAATAAATGTAATTAAAGAACTTTTTTGTTTGTTCGTCTCTAATCACCTGGAGCAGTCGTGTCCGCTCCACCCGGGACTGCAGTGACATCTGTTCGGCCTGATGCATCGGCCTCCGTTCACACAAGGTGATGAACACACAGCTGTGGACACAAAACACAGCACAGTCAGCATCCCTGTACCCACGAGTTTCTGCTCATGAAGTGCCTGGAAGAAGGAAATATGCAGCCTATCTGTTGACGCTGGTGTTACTACATTCCCTCAGGACATATCGGCCTAAATGAGTGAAACCATCACCGACACACACGTGAACTCACCACTGTGACAGCGTGTGCCGCTCCACCCGGTGGGACACTCGCACTGGTACGGTGCCACGCAGCGGCCTCCGTTCAGGCACGGCAGGATGCAGATAGCTGTTATTGAAGAGGGAAGAGGAGGCTCGTAAACGGGGAGTAATTTAAGGTCACCAGTCCTCCCTCCCTCTCTCCCTCTCTCCCTCTCTCTCTCTCTCTCTCTCTCTCTCTCTCTCTCTCTCTCTCTCTCTCTCTCTCTCTCTCTCTCGACAGCAAAAACATTTGAGACACTTTCGAAATTCAAGATCTTCTTGACCGCAGGCTTGAGAGAAGCAGGTTTTTGTGGTGATGCATCTCGAGTTTCAAGAAGACAATCCGGTGGCTGCGTAAAGTGCACAGTCACCGTAGGACTTTAAAGCCCGAGTCCATAGTTTGTCTGCAGCAAATTCTGTGGCAATTTATCAAGTAGATGTTGAGATACTTCTTATCTTGTGTATTGATTTTTCTTTTTTTCTTTATATCATATTGATTTGTGACTATTGCTGCTTTAGTTCCGTGTTGAGTGAGCAAGAGACAAAATGTCAACACACGGTCTGACAGAGAGAATGCCTCTCCACGCCTCAGCTGAAAACAGCTATTCACTCCATCATGACACCCTTCGGGCACCATTGTCTGTTAAAAAAACCTGCTGAGCAAGCTGCTTGGGTTCACGCGTGTGCACGAGTGAGTTTGTGACTTAAGGATACTTACGCTCCTCACAAAGTCGGCCCATCCAGCCCTCGGGGCAGGAGCAAGTGTTGGGCCGCTGACACACACCTCCGTTCTGGCAGCGCAACCAACACACCGCTGAGGGAGAGGACACACACAAAACATATATTCTATATGTAGAAAAAGTCACATTTTTATACTTCACACACACAGTAGACAATCGTCAATATTCAACCCTTTCCAGCAAATAAGAGGACACAACAGTTTCAACAACAACAACTTCATGCACCAGAGCAAAGGGAGCGTTCACGAATAGCTGATTAAGTTCCTCAGCCAACCTTAACATAGACGTCATCAGAAACCCCCTGAATGTGTGTGTGTGTGTCTCCGTGACCGGAACATGAACTCAGCAGCTGTTGAAGAAAGCTCCGCCTGAACCCAGCCTTTATTGAACTCCATGTTGCATGAGATCTGCTGCGGATGGCCAGAGGGAGAGTCAACTTCTTGTATTAACCACAGACAGGTCAGTGTCAACCGGTCACATTTGTTTCCTGTTCAAATTACAGCTCTTTCCTTACAGTGTTCACTCCATAGTTTTGCATGTGGTGCTTGTGCTGATTGTGGAACAGAATATCTCAGTCTGTCTAATCCACACAACATATCTTAAACCTGCACCGTATTCTGATCGACTGAGCTTATTGTAAGACAGATGATATAAAAAGTCTCAAACGAAGCCACTTTGATCCTGACGGCCATAAACCGAAAACCAAAACTATTGGTGTTTTGTATCGCCGAGAAAAATTACAACCAGACTCTATTGTCGATGCTATTTTTCTTCCTTGAACGGGGGCTGGTTGTGTAAAGTACTGATATATGACGACACAGGAAGAGGCATCGGTCATGGTACAGCCAGAGGGAAGAAGCTGCTTTTTTAGGTTGACCGTTTGAAACATATCCTTTCCCAATGATGAGGGAAAAGCACAAAGAACCCGTGGCCAGATTTCTTGGCGACTAAAACCAGTAGGAGAATAGAGGACAGACAGAGCAGGCACAGAGATGTTAATACCATCCAGAGTAAACTGTATCTGTTGAGCAGCAGTCCAGAGAGGAGTTGAAAAGCCAATAAGCAGCATGAGGTCATGCTGCAAAAAAAAGGGACAGTCAGAGGAAGCAGGAAGTGTCCTGAGAAAGGGGAGTGTCCCTTCTGTGGAACACAGAGGAGTTTGTCTCTCTACCTCTGCATGTGGGAGGCGGCGTCCAGGTGCCGTTCTCCAGACACCTGCTCCTTCCAATGCCCTCCATGGCGTAGCTGCCAAAACACGAGTACACCGCCACGTCCCCAAACTGGAACACCGCCCCCCGCACCACCCCATTGGCCACGTGGAGGGGGGGGGCCACAGGACACCCCTGTACCGGATGGAACGACCCACGGGTTACTCACTACACGTCTTCTGTCTGCCTCAACATGCTGCTACTTTTTGACCTAAAAATATTCTGTTTGAGCAGAGAGGAAGATTGTCCACAGGGAGTGGACAAAATAAAAGAAATACCTTACAGTACAGAACAATAGCAGCTTCTTATGCTAATCCTATCTTGAGACGGTCAGAGGTGTTGATTATTCCTCCAGTGACATTACATCATTGTACTCATGTACCAGCAATTCAGGAAGTAACTTTTTTTGACAAAACCTAACAGGAGATTTGCTTTGTAATCATACAAGCAGAAACCTAACAAATGACGTAAAAACTTCTCGTGGTGTTAACACACACAAAAAAGAGTAATATGAGTTTCCAGGAATCTGTGCGTTTGTGGGACTTCTATATTGTATTGTAAGGTGTTACTGATATTTTGTCTACCCCTTCTGTAGCAATGAAAACATATTGAATATGAAATTGTGCACTGCAGTGTAAGAAATCTGTGTCCATTGGATGAAATCAAGCTGTGTTCCCCGTGTCCCTCATTCATGCAAAATACGCCAGATACTTCAGTTGCGTGACAGTCGGTGGACTACCTCTTAAAAACCACAAAAAAAAGGACTAAAGGGATTAGAGGGAACATGCATATATAAGAGAATAAACACCATGCAAATACAAACAATGAGCCATAGCAACATGAGCACAATTGTGTTGCATATTCAGGACAACTGCACGCAAGAAAGATCAGAGGATTATCTGACAAAGGTTGCCATAGAAGCTGCAGAGGTGCCCTTAATTAGTCCGGCAGACAGGACGCCGACGCAGTGTTTGATGCAGCCCTGTTTGTTCTGATGAAAGCTCAGCGAGAGACAGACAACGCCAAATAGAAATGATGCTTCAGCTATTAGGTAGGTTTGAGCCGACAGACATGCAAGTGTAGAGAAGCGTTCGAAACAAGACGAGGGGAGCGTGCAGAGGTGTGAAATATCAAATACACACTTTCTACTTGATTAACTCCTGGATTAGGACATGATTTGCTAGTTTGAGTACATATCCACATCTTTACTTGATTGATTTCCCCAAACATGAACTAAATCTTATGACCTGGAGCTCACACTGAGCTCTTGATCTTTTGAGGCCAAACGTGATATTTGAAAAAATAAAGTGATACGGTTTATTTGCAGTTATGAATCAACAGTGAAGCTTTCCCAAAGAGGACAAACAATATTTTTGACCTTTAAAGAAAGAACCTACTTTCACACACGGAGCTGATGGGGCTCCAGGTCCGGTCAGGCCTGCAGGTGACGGTGCCGCTGCCTTTGATCTGCTGACCTTTGGGACAAGTAACACGGACCGACTGTCCCACAGGAAATTCCTGCTGGGACCCAAATCTGCTACTGACTTCCCTCCAGCCTGGAGGAGCCGGGCAGGACTTAGCTGTAAGGAACAACAACGTGGGATTATTGATTAATAGATAGACACACTGTATCTGTTAGTAATAATAAAGTGTTGTTTCTCAA